TTTTTTTTTTTTTTTTTTTTATTCCGATCGGTCGATATCGATTGTGGAGGGAAATACCGAGGCGCGATGAGTTGTATGTGCGTGTAATTGGATCTTGGAATTTGAAGGTGGTTGTACAATTATCTCGCAGATGTTTGCTTTCATTTTGCGGACACATAATCCACCGGTAAAGTTCGCGGAGATTAGGAGCTCGGGTAAATATTGGGAACTTGTCATGGAATCGAAGGACGTTCGGTCAAATTGTAATGTCGAGTCTTTTTGTGGTGAAAGTTTAATACAGTTTGCGCACGCGAGTTTTCTTCAGACAGTTATAGATGTCTGAAAGATTCCAATGCCTCTTTAATAATTGTTATTTTTTAATTAACCGTGCAATGAAATCGTTTTTTAAGAGTTTCTTGAAATTAATTATGTAATACAATTGAAAACAACACAAATGCAATAAAGCGCAACAAAAGACAACAAACATCGAACAAGCTCGGACAAGAGAACAAGAAAGATGAAGTCAATGAAACACGAATAACACCACTACATATTAAAATAAAGGAAGCATAAATAAATTGCAAAAATCAAAGAAACGTACCAAGAACCGAGTATTGAGAAATTCCATTAAAGTAGAAGAACGCAGTTTAACATTGAACGAGGGAACAAAATCACATTATTCGCAGCCACGCTTCAGACAGACACGAGTCACCGGTTCGGAGAACGCGTAAATCGTGGCCGTAGCTGAGATAATTCTCCCCTAACGGGCGAATCTTGCGGGCTTCGCGAACAGACGTAATTCGATTCCCTTTACGCAATTTTGTCGAATCGTGGTTTCGCATTCGCGAAGCTCGCGACGCAACGGGTGTTCCGCGCGAGAGGGCGATCGGTCCACTAACCAAGACTCGATGCAGACAAACAAGACAACACTGTTACGATTTCACAGCGTAGACGCTGGACGATTCAGCGAATCTATATTTTCTACGACAATACGCGTTTTATCATTAGCAATATGAATCATGACGATGTCGCATCGCGTCTAGAACTGATTATCTATTAAACGCGCTAGCAAATGATAATAAACAGTTGTTGAGTATTTGCGCTACGCATATGTAGTTGGAGAAAGCGAAAGTGATCGCAGACATTCGTCGCTGATTCAACTAATAAAAAAATTGATCGAACGTGTACGAAATCAATGAACAATAAATTTTCTTTGCTATATTAATATTACTCTAAACCTTCCCAAACGCCCACAATCCTTCGCAATTTTTTTTATTCGTTTACACATCGCGTCTTCACCGAAGCAAATTTATATTAGCGAACATTCGCGAATATTTCGCACGACTAATAAATGGAGCTCAGACGTAAGATCGATTTTAGATCGACGAAAATCCACTCGATTCGAGCCAGGCATTCGAAATCTTTCTGGAATCAGAGACCGAGATCGGCTAACTTCGTACGATCTCGAAGCGCTTGTAAATTGATCGCGGCTCGCGTCCCGACTGAAAGCGATCTGCTCGTTAAGTACCGCAGCAGCCTCCTCGGAGAGACGAGGCTGGAAAGCAATCCGGCGTGGATCGAGATCGAGATCGAGAAAATAACGATAAAACGTGACGCGGTCGCAATTAATGGCGGAAAAGGTATCCGAGAGCTACGGCCGCGATCCAGAGCCCTCTTCGCCGCGATCGACGACGTCTCCACTGAACGTTTGCGACACGATGCAACACGCTCAGACATCGATTCGAGCGATCGAACGGACTACGTACCCGATGAGATCCATACGGACGATGCGTTCGCCGATCGGCGAAAGGTGCGCAGCAAGCGTTCTCTTTAACTTCTATGCGTCTTCTTTGGTGTACACATAGAATACGCAAACACGAATGCACTCGTACACGCGTATGGTATGTATCGTCACGTGGATGCGTGTTTCTTGTTTATAAAGTACACGTAAAACACAAGATCTTGAAACGGATAAAGACTGCGTTCATTAATACGTATATTGTTGCAATTGTAACTACGATGATAACAGAAAGATAGCGTGTGATTTTTCGCCGTAATCGACGAATCAGGTCCACTTTTCGCGGTGTCACCCCGTATATCGCATGGGAAAATAAATCTTGTGGACACTCACCGGGAGGGAGACTGGACACTGGACGCTGTCACCGGACACGGGTTGCAGCGACTGCAACAGATCGCGTGCGTGAAAGAGAGGACGGCTATCAATGGCTGCATTATACAATACCAGTGAACTGGTGTACACGGAATATGGTGTGCGTGCGCGTGCGTGTGAGAGCGCAGTACGCTGCGCGCGTACGCGACGACGGCGCGAGTATGTAAACGTAGACGCGCGAACCGGGTCCACCGAACCAACCGAACCAACCACCGAACGAAACAAACGAAAGGAACGAAGCAAGTACTGTCAGGTATTCCCGCGAAGAGGATCTGTCTCGTGCGTAGTACTGTCCCATACGCTTGGGAGTACAGCGAGCGCGCCAACGAAAACGTCGAGACGACGAAACGAGACGAGAGGTGCATGCCTGTGCTCCACCCTGTTTCTCGGGTTTACTTTTCGACGAGCATTTTGCCGATTAGATATCGACTCTTTTGCAAACACACTGCGCTGCACTGTGGGATTATTCTAAAAGTAGGATTCCCTATAAGCGTTAAACGTACATACATACGCATCTACATATATAGACATTTTCAGTTGGACACAGTGTTACACACAGAAATGACATATCGCTACAAGATAGTAGAATTTTATTTATAAGAATCTTTAGAGAGAGTTTAAAATAATTTCTATAATTGTCGCAGTTCGTATAATAGGAGAATATAATAGGATTCGTTCACATAATAGAAGCTCGCGTTCTAGATAAGTAGTTTCAAACGGTAGCAGTTAGACGCTAAGTAAGATTTCGTTCCGGTAAATGAAATTCATACAAACGAAATTGTACTGTGCTACGATGTATCAAAGAAGTACATTTCTAAACGATCTACGACTGTCACGTTCGCATCAATACGTATTCTACGTTTATAGAAAATCTCACTCGAACGTCTCCTCGTTCCTTGTCGTCATCTTCAGCGGTCTCCTTTCATTCTCTGTATTATCTCTTTTTAACCGACTTTACAGTGATCTTTGTCGCTCAGGTTGCTCGTGGTACTCGCAAGAGAATTCTTTCTGTATCTATCCCGCTCTCTTTCATTTCCACCTGATTCCACTGGTCGCTCTCCGTCTACGTTTTTACCTTTCCTTCTGTCCCCTTGTCTCGATCCCTGTCCTCTGCCCCCTCCCGGCGTCGTTCCGCAGCTCGACCGGACTGACCTGTTCACGTGTGCACCACAGCCGCAATAACTATATCCAGCCGCGCTTTTTTGTCAGCCCGTTCTTACGTACGCTCGGAAATGAATTGAGTTATTGTAAAATCGTGTCCGGCCGGCTGTAATTGTCCGCGCGTGCCCCGCCATGTTCGTACGCGGCCGCAAGCGACCTCGTCCATTTTTCACAGCGGTTCACCTTTTGCCAGTGTAGACATAGAGCGAGCATATCAAGTGGAAAAATCACCACACAGTTCGCCATCCGAACTTCCGCTTAAAATGGATTTGTAATATGAATAGTTACGAATAGGATCGAGCTAGATCAAACGCGTGATGCCGTTCCGCGTTGTCGCGGAAACGCGACCACGACTCGAGAAATAGTACAAGCATAAGATAAAAAATGGAAATAAAAATGTGTAAAATTTCGATTTGTCAGAATAGGCGGAGCTATCCACTCGAATATTTAATTATCGATTTTGTAAAAGAACGAATGATTTAACGGAGGATTCTTTGGTGGATAGCTTCGATCGAAGGGAATTTTTCCACTCCAAGTTACAAAGAATCCTGATTCATTCGGTTTATCGCGATACGACGGCATTTACACGGATCGAGGGACGCGTTCGCGCCTTTTCAAGGTGAATAGAGAGCTCGGCGCCTCGACGCAGGCCCATCCTGAATGAACAAGCGCAATAAGCAGGTGCTGGTGCTCGACTCACCGGCTTCGAATCTCCTTCCAGCTGATCGGCTTTATGGCCGTGACGACCCCATCCACCGTCGAACAATTACGGCGAACATCAGGAAGCACACCGTTCTGCGGGCAGAAGAAAATCGTTTTATTAGTAATCCGTGATAGACGGTTTAACGTTATGGTTGGACGGAACGATTCGTGAATTTGTAAAGAAGAATCTAGGTGTGTACTTATACAATGTGTTTCTATACGCCTTGTTGAATGTCTTGAACACGAAGAACGGAATATGAAAAGAAAGTTTGTCACACTATGTTACGAAAAGAAATATAATTCTATAATAGTGTTTAAACACAGAAATAATTTAGTAAATTCCAAAATTTGGTTTCTCAGTTTGCTTTGTCATTTATTCATTCTCCCCTATTTCTAATCATTTTACGAATATAGTTTGTTTCAGTGAGTCACCGTGTATAATATCAAGTAATAGATACGCAGGTTTATCACTCGAAACTGATTGTTATAATTGTTGCAAAATTAAGATGTTTTTCGTAGGCTGTACAATATATATATACCTTCTTGCTATGATATCTTGAAAGCTGATAAGGGTTATCAAAGCGAGTACATATTTTGCGGTGGATCAGACATGTTTGAGTAGAAACGGGATTTTGCTTGGCGTAAATCGTAGTACGCTCATTCATAGTTGTTTTTAATCAAGTATCGTTACGTAAAGAAGTATTAACGCCATATTAGTATAGATAGTTTTATAAATAGATTAAGATCATAACCATCCCTTTCACTTTCATAAATAAGTATTTAGAACAAAATTTGTCGTCTCTCTTACTTCGTACGATACGACGAAAATTGTAAGGAAACATCCATCAAATTTCTATAGCGCATCAACATCACTAATACTTCTTCTGCATCAAACGTATCTCATGCTTAACCGCTCTAAAAAGTTCGAATCCAAAAGAATCCACTCCCTGCAAACTTACTCGGTAAAAAACGAAAGAAACAAACCTCGCCAAACGTTTCACAAATTAAAGGTTCCAAGCCTCGCCATCGTCTCCAATAAAAAGAAAAGAAACCGTTACTAACGTGTCCCCGTAGGACTCCATTATCCAACCTTCCGATAATTGATAACGCAGCGACACAGCGACGAACGCGTAGGATTTGCATGGAGGTCGGTGGAGTCTTGGCCCGCGGTCGCGACCGACAGATACGAAGGATCCTGTGCGAAGACAAAGGACGATGATTCAGAGGTAGTAGGAGAGAAGTACCTGGTAGATGACACGAGATTCCACCGAAGGTGGGCACTACGTCACTGTCTTTTTCTTCTGCTCATCCTGTGCTGGTCTGGAGCGCGCGCGCGACCGACTATCGGACGCCGCGAGGTGGTTTTCGACTCGAAATCTCGGCATTCCTCCCGCCGCGAGGAATCCAACGATGTTAAATGAACCGTCCCGAGGAAATATAATGTCCGCTAAACATTCTTCTCCGTTTCCGTAATTTACGGCCGACCGAAATCTCCCGAATCGCTCGACGAGACTGATCGCCCCGACGAAAGTGCCCGCTGACGAGAATGGGAACTCGATGCCCCGACAGCAGGTGCTTCTCTCTAACTTGTGTCACACTGCCTGGGGAATCCTTCTTTTCTTCCCTCTTTTGTTAAGAAACGAACTAGGCGGGATGAAACGGATGGTAATGGGTGAATGCTGATTCTTTGTCGAGATGCGGACGAGGTTGTTTTTTGGGGAGAGACTTTTTGAAAAAACAGCCGAAGGAGATGCAGAAAGTATTTGTATACGCTGTTCATTTCTTTTGGTATTTAGATACACTGGTTAGAGAGAGAGAGAGAGAGAGAGAGAGAGAGACAAGGCTACTTCTGATAGTGTAAATATAACTACTTCGAATCTGATTACCCGCAATCGCTGTAAGAAAGAGAAATTTAATTGTATTTAATTGTATGTTAACAAAATATTTGATTCAAGTCTAGAAGGTAGTAGGACAAGAGAGAGATATCGAATACAAAATGCTGATTGATTTCATTAATTTCTATGAGCGATTTTGAAACAGTACTTCGTGAGTAAAATTTAATTGAAACAATCGGCCAAGAGATTCGTTCATCACTGAAACGCTCCATATCTTGCAAGATTCACCGTACATCGAATTTCACGGAAACTTTCCAATGAAATACGAGGCGCATTAACCACGTCCCGACTACGACGTTCCTAACTGAGCGTTCCCATGTTCCCGTGCGACCACTACGACGATCTGGCAGTGGTGATTCGCTCTATTAAAAGAGCGACCGATCAATTCGCAGTCGAGGCGACCGGGGTACCTGTGGCACGTGGGCGTTCCTGGCTAGCAGGGAGCCGTAAAGTCGTTAAGTAGCCACTTCGGACTTGGAAATAAGGAGATGATGGATCATTAGCCTTGGGGATCCTTCTGTAACTTCTGCCTAGTCAGCGAGCACCGCATACCTGCGATTTGTAGAAAAACAAACAGCCCAAGTGGCGGAGCATTGGTCTCGCGTTAAAAGGTCTGTTTTACTATCGAAAATGCTTGTACGTTTTGCACGATACATAGTTTGTAACGTATAATCATCTATTAAATTTGAGCTTGTTCCGTCAAATAAATTCCAGCGTTCATATCTTTTAAGCTACAACAGTACAACGCTCTATACCTTAGGATACAAATATGAATGATATGCATATGTATGCAGTCGATTTGTACTCGTTATTTAAGATACCTGTCACTTTAATTTAAATCTGACGTTGTTAGTATTAAATACTACTACGAATTACGTATATTTATTAATACACTACATTTCCCTTCCTTATGTTTGAACTCGAACTCGCCAGTATTTCAGCTCACGATTAAGACATCCGATTAAAGCGCGTCGATGCAACACAACCTGCAACAGGAACATCGCATCGGACCGCGGACAATTCTCGTTGCATCTTCGGAATGCAGTACAACTACGTTAATAGGGCAGTCGATATATCGATGATCATAGAAGCGCGACACCTGGCGGTAGTAAGAGGCGGTCATAAAGGCGCTAAATGGCCACTTTCGACCGGCGAAGAAAGTGATGTTGGAACATTAGCTCCGTTCGAAGTAACAGAGAAAGGGGGATAGAGTTCGGGAGCGAGCTGTATACCGCGGCCGAACAGAAAAATACGTAAACTCGGCTTGTATTACGCGCAAATCGTCGGACATGGGAGTCGGTGGCGCTGGGTCGCCGACAGAAGCTCACGGCGGTAATGGTAGTTGGAGGCACGATTGCGAATGCACCGACGATAATGCACCGCCTTCTCGTTTCTTCTTCTCCGCGTATTGCTCGAGAACCGTACGGCGAATCTTATTTCCTGATAAATGTAACGTTCGCGCCATTACCAGCAGGAAGAATCATATTTTCTGAGCATATTTCACGGAGGCCGCGGCTTTTTTGGTGCACAGCAATCGCGCGTTTATTGGCCGTCCGGCGCGGTGCAACAAGAAGGAAGTTGTAATTCCCGGATAACGCCTAGCGTAATGGCGCATCAAAATCAGACGGCTACCTCTTTCTTTCTCTTCTTTTCATCATCCACACCACGCGAAAGGAACGTTCTTTGCCATTTAGGTCTTCCAGAAACACCGGGTCACCTCGAGTTTTCGCTATTGCATTAATATGCTAATAACGCGTGGGTGTTCTTAAGAAATAAGGAAGCGTGCGACCAGCAACCTACCCAGCCATTTTTGGATCTGGTCAAACGTAATAGACCAGTGTTTCGCTGTTTCTTGTTTTTTCTCGATGGAGTCGCAGGAAATTTCTAACCTCGTGTCTCGCGAACATTCTTTCTCCTCCCTTGTTTTCTCTTTGCTTTTCGTCAGCAACAAACGTTATCAGTCGAAACGGTCGTTACCGGTGTCCAGATGGCCGGGATAACGCAACCGCGAACGCTTAGACAAAGCGCCATTATTTACGGGCAAACAGATTGGCTCGCTAACCCAGGAATTTAGGTGTGCTCCGATTTCTAGACCGCGCGAAGAACACACGCAGCAATTTATAGCATCATTGTTACTCCTATTGTAGTTCCTGAGCGTGGGCGAAACGCGCCGGTGACATTACACTTCGCGAAATCTTGCTATGAACAGTACCTTGCTGCGAACAGTACCTTCTAGTGGAACCATATGCATCACAGGTTGATGTCCCAGAAACAGCCTTGTTTCGAGTTTGAAACATTCGCCGAAGTCTTGTAACAAAGCTCCTTTAGTTGGCCTATCGTTCGGAATTTCATTGGATAAATTAAGAATGTTCGAGAGAGTCGATACGAAATATATGGATCGTATAGAATCGGATGTATCGTTTGTTTGAAAGAAATAGAAATGTGTGGACGTGAAAGGACATTGTATAGCTGTATATTGGAGAATAAATTTCAATCTAAAAGCAGGATGTTGGAAACACAATAAGTTTCTTGGCGCTCCTAGATAACACGGTAATAAAATTGTTGCGACTCTTGTACACAATGCAGAAGTTTCATAGCGGAATCAGAGACGTGGATTCCCATTACTTGTACTACTTTTCCACGGAACCCTTCCATTTCTTTCACCATAAACCTACCATAAAAGCAAATCGTCCTCGTCAATATCAAGAACTTCTTAGTTCCAAAAAGGTTCCATGAAACAAAAGCTCCGAATCCTCTTCACAAACTCGATCAAACCACCGAGTCTCGAAAACGACCATCTGAACGAACGTCCACGAGAGTAGCGATCCATGCAATTGGTCCGCAGAACGAGCGGCACGCTGAGTGGCGCGACGGCGGTAGCGGCGGC